CTATTTAACGGATTACACTAATCTGATCAATATTGTATGTATGTATGTTATTCCCATATTAATCAATTCGAAAGAATTGATCATGACTTGGTATATTTAAATAATGTTAATATATATATATATATATATTATATATATATTTATTTATTGTATACGTACACACATATCACGACATCAATAAACAGCAGGTTTTTCTTTTTTTTAATCAGTAACCTTTTACCTTTAATCATTAACCATTTACCTTTTATATGTATTACAACGAATTATAACTTTCCGACTTTTGTATACTTGCATGTATAATCGCATACCAGAAGATATTATTCTTCGTAATTTGTTTCTTGTTTTATGTTTTTAAAATAGGAAAGTGTGAAAGAAAGATAACTTTATATTATTTATATCAAGAAATCGTTTCTTAATCACGATTACATTCGTTGAAAAAGGCAAGTAATCTACGTAGATCCATGACTAATGTTTTATTGTAAGTTTGTGGTCCTCAGTGTTTCGAATTAGAGTATTTTTCTTTCTCTCTCCTCCTCTCGATTATTGGTTAATGTATATTTCTAGGCTTGTGCATCGAGAAGTCGTACATACTTTGTGGTATGCTCGAAGATTATACATTAGAAGATAAGAAACATTTTGTTTCGTAATAAATTTACATTATAATTTGCAAATATTGTCTACAAACAAATCGTAATAAAATTTAAGTAGTTTTGCAAAACAAGTATACATACAAGTTTAAGTTTTCATTCATGAAAATAATACAGCATTTTATTAGCAACAATCTTTTGAATTGTATTTAGAAATATTTTTGTATCCTTTTTTAGCCATTTGCTAAGAATTAATTAGCGCATTTACGTTTTGCCGCGACTCACACTCAAACTACTCGATGCATTCGAATCGTATTGTGAGTGATAATATCGAGATATAATAATAACGAATGGGTGCTCTGTTAATAATTCGTTCTAATAAAATCGCAAGTCACGAAAACGTCAGTATTAATGAAATGCGTTACGATGTTTACAGCAAGCCCTAATCATAAAAACGCTCGTCATAAACGATCTTTTATTTATTTCGATATGTATAATTATTTCCAACGATCCATGAATTTTGTCAAAACGGTGATTTTCATCGGAACACGCATGGCGTTTTCCATTTTACGACGAGAAATTCCCGCGAATCTTTTATAAAGACGTCCGAATTTAATAAACTATTTCAAACTGCAAATCGAAAGAATATTGCGTAACAACATAGTCTGCTTTTGCGCGAGAATGTGACTGTCATACCTACGCTTTTAGGTCATAAGCCTCTGTCGGAGGAATGCTTTATATATACATACATACACACACATATATTTTATATATATATCGTTATCTAAGATGTATCTATATATATCTCTGCTCGTCTAACATAAAATATACAACATTTACTACGTTTGCTGCTATTTTAAATATTAAATCTACTGCTATCTACATGTTATAAAAGTATCATTTAATCACAAAAACAAAAACGAATGAGTTCGAACAATTCGCGTTCATATTCGATGATAAATCATGAATACAAAAAGCGACTTTTTGAAAATCTTAGCGTTACATAAAATTTGTCCGCATAATGATAGTGTCTGTACAATTACTCGTAATTAGCAATATTTTTTGCTACGTAACAAACTTTGATACTTTTGATACAGATAAAGCTACAAATTTTATATATTATTAGTACATATTATGTTCGTTATCGTTCGAGAACTTTTGTTCGATATGTATATTAGAAATATACGCACATTTATGCGCAAGTAGTTGATTGCAAACTACTTGTGTGTTCTTATGGTCAGATATATAAAAACAAAAATAATTTATTATTCTTATTGCGTCTTAACAAATTAATTTCTTTTGTACTGAAATAATGAGTTTCTACATTGCGCTTACCACACATTATTTAACTTTACAAAATTCAAGAAAACATTTTTTGTTGAAAACATTTTTTTCCCGCATTCTTTTATGCAATTTTAACATATTAAATAATTTTATCTTATAAGAATAGCTCTCTATACATATTTTTCACTCTTATAAAAAAAGCTATTCCGTGGACGGACACTGCACAAGCTTCACGATATTCAGAGCATATCAAGAATAATAGCGCGCAGAGAAATAGCATCAAAATTTCCATCATTCTCGTTTAAGTTTTAATAATTTAAGAATATATCTGCTTGTTTTTTAAGAAATTTTTTAATTGTATTAGATATAGCATTGCGAGTCCGTACAAAAAAAATATGCAGTGCCTGTCAATTTTGCTATATTTACATTTACGCGCGCGCGCGCGCGTGTGTGTGTGTGTGTGTGTGTGTGTATTGTATACATATATAACAGCACGTTTTGTCATCGATACATCAATAAAAATATGTTCACAAACGCGCGTGCTTGCGCATAAAAATACACGCAACGTTCAGAATATACAAAAACATGCGTACAAATAGAATATTTACGTTATTTTATATCTCGCGCGCTTACCTTTGATATAACGCAAAGATAAACACACGTTTTGAAATAAAGACACTTAAATACAAATTTTTCTTGACTTCGCAAATTCGTTTCTTAGTTTTGTATGAAAAACTTTTCGAATAAAAAACTTTTTGATAAAAAACTTTTTGATAAAAAAAGCGCACGTGTTTCGCAATCATGCTGCATGACTTCCAAATGTATTGTTTTCCTCTTATTACAATTGCAAGCATTCCAAACGAATATAAACGATAAAAAAGTAGTTGCGAGGAAGATAGTTTATACAAGAAGTTCCTGGTCCCAGTTCTCAATCATTATTGCCAACGGCACTTGCTATTTCAAAACCGCCTACTTTTGCATTTTCAAGAACTCGATTTCGGCGACATAGAACTTTCGATAAAATCTTTCTCCGCCACGGGGAATACTTTTCTCTCCTTTATCTCGTATATTTGATCAACGTGTGACCACTCGCCGGATGTTATCCAAGTTCTCGTTGGTAAAAGACGCTTAAATTTCAATTTCAAATTTTGCACATAACGTTCGCAAGTCGGACATTGATCAACTTGGGCGCTTTGATTACAATTATTTTTAGAATATTAAAACTGTGAATATTATTGTTTTTATTGTACATGTGACGAAACAACGATTCCTACAGTTTTCAGCATATATATGTCATAAAATCTTACTGCAAGATGTTAATTCAGTGTTGACTATAATTGAATGGAACAACTGAACATAAAAAATGTGCAAAATTTGATGATGTAACGCGCGTACACATACCGTATCATTCATACAGTTTAAAAAAGTGTGATCACAGATTGACAGAAGGCGCGTAAAACACGATTTTATACATATACAGTCACGAGAAATACTTCATTATGATAATTTATCAATTAACAAATATATTAATAAGTATACTTATATAGATATATCTATGTATATAGAGTATATATTTGCGTGTATATGTTACTTACAGTACATATATATATATATGCGTATTTACTTTACTATTTTGGTTTTCACATAGGCAAAGTAAGATTCTCTCAGTTATATATATATTTGATTATGTTAACAATAATTAATTTCTAAACTACAGTTTTTGGAAAGTTTACATGATTTTGGAAAAAAATGCTTTTTATGTTTGTTTCGAAACTCTTGCGAGTCTGAATAACAACGTAAAAGTATAAGTAAAAGCACGCACGTTTTTTGTGTTGTTAAGCCTGTTCTACATTAAGCGCAAACGCCAAGTCGCAGGTTTCGTGGAATTGACCACTTCACGTTGATCAATTGGCTGATTTGACTAATGCAATTAGTCAATTCAATGAGATCTGCGAACTTGCGTCTTGCGCTTGATGTAAAACAGGTTTCCATTTTCGCGCGGTAACGTATTTCACACGCATCTTATTATTATGATACATGTACAAACGAAAATTTTTAGGCGTAAAACGCGACGGATATGTTTTTAAATACATGATTTAGCAATATAGTTTGAAGCCACGGTTGTGGAATGTACCGCGTATATGTATACATATACAAAACATACGCAATAAATACATGAGTTCCTCTATCTGAAGGGACTGCGTAAACATAATCAGAATTTGCATTTATATGAGTAAGAATTTTTGCAAAAGTGTATTTTCGAAAAACTGCCGGAGTTGTTTGTCTACAAACAAATTCTTTCTGAAGAAAATACCGTTGTCGATTTGAGGAAATCTGATATTCGTAATCGCACAACTGCGTAGCGCGTTGTATGGACGGAGCAAAGCGCGTTCTCATGAAAGAGCGAATACTGAACGAATAGTTACTCGCGAATGCCTCTTTCACTGAAACTGCTGCTAAATAAATAGTGATTCTTGAAAACAAGTATCTGTTTTGAAGAAACGCGACACAGCAAAGCGAACGTATCCCAAGCTGCCGGTGTGGTAGGTAACACGTAATGAACTATCCAGTCGGGTTAACACAAAATGGCGTTGTTTTCTAGAATAATTGGTACAACAATATTCATCGACCAATTTACACAAAATATACGCGAGAATTCGTTAGAGGCAATCAAGTCACGCGAGGAATATCGTCTATACTGTGCGCGTTTTAATATGTTGATGTTCTCGCGGATATATATGTAAAGTTTCTTCTATTCATCTTCCGTTTTTGGTTTCCGAACAGTATTTTTCGTTTTATTTTACTTTTGATTATAATAAATCCCGGACACATTTGTAGCTATCATCATGTCAAAATCACAGAGGCAATAACAAGTATTGTGCAATATACTCGTTTTTTTATCGCGTTTATTCAGTGAATATGGTATAACTTCGACGTACTTCGGCAGATAAGAGCAATTATATAATCGCAACCAGATATGTTCAGAGACAAAAAATACATACATACATACATACATATATATATATATATATATATATATATATATATATATATATATATATATATATATATATATATATATATATATATATATATATATATATATAAAATTATCAAACATCAAGAGCGATATGTAGATTTAAAATTAAGTGGATCGATGGCAGCGTCACAAAGAGAGAGTTTTGGTTTTATAAGAAACAGCGAATCTATATATGAAGACAAGACGAGGAAAAGTTTCTTAATTAGTAAATTTTAAGGATTACAGATTACGCAAATTGCCACGGTTCTAGTTACATGCAAAACACTCTGCATCCATCAACTTATTTTTAGTTTTTTCACCGAATTTATGTTGTGATATATATATTTAATATTTATCGATATATTCTTAAAGTTTATATATTTTTACTAATAAAGTGGCATACATTACGGTACTTGATTCGCCTCTTTATTCTTTATCAATCGTTATCGAAAAGATCTTCGCCGCAAGTAATCGCTCTCGTTTTACATAATAAATGGCCGGGTAATGCTACTTTTTCCCGTCCTTTCAAAGGAATCTCGCTAAATTGCACCAAACACCGAAACCAACTAGACGAGCAAAGTAAGTACTGAAAGTTTTAACTGATATTATTGCCATCTTTATCATCGAATCGCCCTTATCCGAGGCTATTTGACTTCGCTCTTCGTTACCGGAATGTTATTACCTTCGGGGAATGATGAGCGCCAAGTATCTCCTTAAACGTTACGGTATTTTCATCTACTCTGCTGACTTACTGCGGCGAGACCGCCATAATTTGGAATATGGCGCTTGCGGCTACCAGCCGTATGTTCGTTGAGCTTAAATCTCAAATACAACGTACTTATAGCCTACCGGTGTCAAGTACTCCCCTTCCAACATGCCACGTATATAACTTTGCAACCTCTTCTGTCCCGGAATCCCTGGTTAAGCTCCGTCGAGAAATTTAATCGAAATTGGGAAATCTTATTTTCTCATCCATTCTCATTTTATGTCTCTCGTCTTGCAATCAGATAAAATACAGTTGCGAGTAAAAAAAAAACCATTATTTCCCATTTTTTTGTTTCTCTACGCGAGACAAGAATTCTTACAAAAATCAGGCTTTTACCTCGGCCTTAGACGTTTTCTTGGCTGAAAACGTCGAGCATTCTCTCGACTGAAATAAGAAGATGCACCGTCTTTAAAACAACGTGATCAATAATAAGCAGAAATCTTCTGCAATTGAATATCTCGACGTCTTTTGCTCAAAACAACATCACTCTTTAATATTGATAAACACCTGAATATTTTTGACATCATATTTTTGTGAAATTCTGAAAATATATCTCGTTTTGACCTGCGTATAACTACGATATAAAACACTTCGAAAAGTAAATCTAATGATTTTTGTTAGAGAACACGTACCCACTGGACGGCAACCGTTCGTGTCAAAAATATTGAATTCTTTCAATTTCAACAAGTCTATTTCTTACATCCAATAAACTTGATTTTTCTGTGGATAATTAAATACTAAACGCCGTTACATTTATTATGTTATGTATACCTTTAGTGCCGATGTTGTTCTTCTTAGGTTTTAACTGCCTTGTATAACAATAATATCAAAAAATAGCAATATTTTTATAAAGTGTTGAAACTCAAATCATCAAGTACAAGTAGTTTATACAAATAGACTAAACGAATCTGAAAATTATATAGGCAATACTCTTACTTTTGTGTACATGTGATAATCAATATTTTTAATTATAATCATTTAATTATAATTCTGCTCGAAAAACAACTTTTGTAGGGTTTTGTTATTCTTATAAAAACAAGATCTTTTACATAGAGAGTGACTCAGTAAATAACTCGATTTTCTTAGAAAATTTTGTAGGCGTGTGTATGTGACGAAGAGATAAAATTAATACTTCCTACAGGATCATATTCGAGACGACATCAGGACGATGATGTTGCACTTCACAGCGATCATCTGTCTCGTAAAAACGGATTCGCGTTACATACGTCCAATGTACGAAGATGGATGTGATGCGGACGCATCTTTGTCAACACATTCTCTTTCTATACTTCAAGTGCATCGCGTTTTTAAAGTTCATAGACATCACGTCCTGTCGCTCGTCCGTTGGGCCTAACCACGGTCGGACGACAGGATGACGGGCTCGCGTATGAATGAATGATGTGAACTCGGAGGCGCACGTCGCTAGAATTTCTGCCGCCTTCGCCGCCGCGAGGTCGTCTTGAGAAGCTCACCGTAGTCTTGCAGCAGCAGTAATGGAAGAGCTTGACATAAGCGCTGCGAAAGTGACGATTCACTACGCAATAAAGCAGATTGTTGAAGCAGGATTTGGACAGAGCGAACCAGGCCAGAATGTAGAGCACTCGCGGAGAGACCGGCCTGAAGGAATTAACGCAAACCACAATGCCAAACGGCAGCCAGAACACGGCGAACATCACGCAGCTGTACATGTTCGCTTTTGTGAGCTCGTAGTCCCAGGAGAAGGCGGCCGGCGGCTTGTACGACCGTGTGGCGTGTCGCACGCGCAACACCAACTTCGCGTACAGGAAGATCGTCGTTAGAGCGGGCAGTCCGACCAGTATGCTCGCTCCGATCACTTGCTCTAACGCGATGCTGCTGAGCTTACGGCGACAAAAATCGGGACCTACATCTAGCAACGATTGCAAGCCTACCGCGACGATGGCGAGTATCCAGATGACGATGATGCAGCCTGTCACGCAGCCCGTTGTCACACGAGCGTATCTAAAAAAATTGAAATATGATATCATGTATTAACATATATACATAAACTAGGAACTGTGTGTGTGTGTGTGTGTGTGTTTCTCTATATCTATCTACAAAATATCTATGAAAATAAATCACAAAATTTTAAACGCTTAAACTTATATAGTGTTGTGTCTACTCGGACATTGTCATAATTTCGTAGGTGAAACAATATAAATATTTTCTCTTTAATTACACCGCAATCTTGTTTAAATCTCGGTGCATTCAATTAAAGAAAATATTTCTCTCGGTGATACACTGCAACTGCAATTACAGAGTTCGTCGTGCTAGTCTGGATTAACGAGGGACTTGAAAAACGAACCGGTAGTTACGGAGTTAGCGGCGCTGGCAGACGATTTCTCGTTTACAATGCGGAGAAACTTCTCCTCGAGTCCACGTGTTCCCGCCGTGATTCTTCTGACACGACCAGTTAAAATACTTCGCCGTATCGTCGCTAAACTTTCAGCGTGCGTATGAAAAGCAGTAATCGTCGTCGTCGTCGTCGTCGTCGTCGTCATCGTCGTTGTTGTCGTCTTTCCTGAATCGTTTGCTATCGGTTACGGATTTCGACAATTCAAGTTAAAGAGAACGTCAGTAAGAATGCAAAATTACAAACTCGATCGTGACATTGATTGAGAGAATTGATGAAGCATTTTAACATCAAATTCGAAATTCTAAGATAGTGATTGTTATACATTACTACGCGCAATATTGGTTCAAATTGGGACATCAATAATGCCATTTTATTTCCATTCAGTACATAATTGTACAATAGAGATACAGAGAAGATATACAGAGAATAAAACATTATAGTATGAAAGATTTATTGGAGCAAAAAAACAAATTCCCCAAATATTAGGTAAATTATTACTAAAAATTACACGTAAATTATTACTAAATAATAACATACAGAGACAAGTTCGTAACTAAAGATAGTAATTTCCTTTCTTCCCGCGTACAAACTTTGGCTTTTTTACTTGTTTTGTATGACAATTTGATCACATATCTCTGTTATCATAGAGGTAGGGTTACTTTAGAAACACTTGGTTTACAAAATAAAAAAGTTGTAAAAAGACAGAGAAACAATGTGTGTGTTTGTAAAAAGATATTAATATTAGAAATAACAAAGAATAATCATTTTTTTCTAAAACATGACTATGTGATTTTATGTCTACCTTTTCAAAGTTGCATAATAATTTTTTGCAAATAAATATATGAATTAGCAAGGAAAACAATTATACATGTATATATATATATTTTTTTTATATTATAATAAAATATATATTTTTTTAATTATATAAAAACTTTTTTTGATAGTGTTTACGGTTACATTGCAAAGAGAGAAAGAAAGAGAGAGAGAGAGAGAGAAAGAGAGAGAGAGAGAGAGAGAGAGAGAGAGAGAGAGAGAGAGAAAATCAAGAATAAAACCGCTCTTAAAACAAGAATATGCATTTGTGGAAATTGTAGAAACGTGAAATCGATTGCCGGAATCGCTTGCTAGTACACTACGCTTTATCTTTCAAACAGTTAACACAAGCGAGCGTAATTTTCGGCCGCTATTGTCGCGAACGACGGTAAGGCCACCGGAGACCAAAGAGCTTTACAAGCACAGGTTTTGGAAGTATATATGTTACCACACCGCCGCGCCAAATGAAGACCTGCCTGCAAGAACCAGATAGCCTCGCTTTTGATCGAAGTGAATTATTTACATGGAAATAGAGAGAGAATCTCTCTCTCTCTTTCTCTGCACAGGATAATATTAATACAAGTATTTATTAAGGCAAATTATTAGTCGGTAGTTGTGTGGCAGTTCGATGAAGTTCGAAGTTAGTTTGCGCGTTAACCATAAATGAGATTTAAGTTCTACTTTCACATATCGAGTTTGATAGCATGCGCGAAGGAAAATTAATTTTGCCAGTTTTTTCTCCATCCTTCTCTCGCTCATTTTTTTTATTTTTTTTAAACAGATTTAAATATCTTTCACGCGTAATTTTGCAAAAGAACATATACAATTTATAGAGAGATAACAAAAAGAATTCCAAAATAGAGAATTCTCAATATGTATGTATACTTTCACATGTATATGTACTTTTGACTACTAACACAAGTGTTCACTATACACTGAGTGTGAAACGAGATTGGTTAAAATTTGCATTTTAAATCAAGTATCGAACAATTCTGTCTCGGATTAATCAATTATAGAGTTTTTTATAAAGTACTTTATTTAATTATTAGAAGCCGTAAGCAACCGATAACAGTCGCGTCGAAAATACTTCAAACCAAAGAGAAGAACTCTTTTTGCGCGAGCGGTCTTTGCGCGAACGAGAGTTTGTTAGTTTTTGCGGCGGCCCGACAAATAGAAACGCCCTAGGGTTCGATCCATTTTTCATTCCACCCTACGGGACAAATAACAAACTTTGTTACGCCACGTACATCAATTCAACCGAATTCTCCGTATAGGCAAGTGATGGAAAGCGACCGTGGGGTAAGAACCGCTCTTGTCGTTCCGGAAACGGATTGCTCAATTAGTAACCGACGAACGCCATTTTGTAAACAAAGCGAGTGGGTTAAAGACAATATACTTTAAAGACCTTTTTTCTGTGTATGAGAGCTAAAAGAAATTGGCAGTAAACGGAATTTGAATTAAAAAAAATGCCGACAATCACAAGAAAGTAGAAGTTATTGATCGCGGTCACGTGTGTTATATCTTTTCGATCGCCGAAGTCTGGGCACTTAATTCGATGGCGGATGGGCCCTCTTCTCCTGTTTTCGTTGCTGACGACGCGTTTCGCCGTCTCTTTTACTTGTCATTCGTTGGCACACGGCGCGCGAGCGAAGCCGTTGCGTCGTCGTGAAGGAAAAAAAATATTCCGGATGAGATGAGGCGATAACGTAATAGACGAACTTTTGGTCTCGCTCGATCAATAGCAGTTACATAGTTGTAATATTGATCGGGCATCAGGTCACCGTTCAAAGTTGGATTTATGCCATTTCAATGGTCAGACAAAAGACGAAGAAGGGAGAAGTCAGCAACAATCTTTAATATTTTTGCAATAAATCGATCGCTTTTTTGTTTTTTGACTTACGAGACCTATCATATTTGCAATAATGTTTTATTTTGATAACGCGCGAAACTGTTCGTACACAGTACGGAATCAATTGACATTTTGCGCGAAAAATCAAGATATTTTTTTATATCTGTCCAAATTACAATATTGTACGAGAAAGAGTCTGCAAATTTTAACTAATGTGATGTTTAGTTGATCGGACGACAAATTATATCATTACATATTCAAGCAGAATTACGAAAGTTATCTAGGAAACATTTTAATTCGGAACTATGTCTATGCGCAAATGGAAATGTCGCAGCAAATAAATTTGCATAGAAAGTTGGAGTTTTGCATATAAATAGTGCCCAAGTCAGACACAATGTGTGTCATTACTTTAGAATTGCGTTTTCGCGCCACAGCATTTTGTAATCGTATTGTTCAGAGAAGTCACATAAATATATAAATATTGATAATCATAACATTTTGTGATGAAAGTGATATGATTTTATCCGCTGTACTTTATCCATTGTACAATTGTCATGTTTTTAAAATAAGACTTGCATTTACCACATTTCTATGTTAAAACTTTATTCAAAATTATTATACGCAAATAATCACAGAATAGGGATATATCACTTAATCATAGCTAATTATTCTTCCAGAAAATTATTTTTAATTATCATGTAACATGCATTAAGCTTTTCAATATGTAACATTGCATTGAACTAAAAATATCATAAAATATGAAACAATTTCAAAATAAATGTACGACTACAATTATGATTTCCCGTGGAAACCGACGTGTCGATTGTCAATTTTTTTCACGCAAAACCCTTTCTTTTTCTGTTCCTCTATTTCTATTCTACGTACCTCTCGGCGGACATACATAGACGTGCGTAATTTTCGCAGGCGATTATAGCCAATGTCAGTACGGTCACTAAAAAGCACAGAGCCTCGAGAGTCCACTCAAATCGGCAGGTGCCCAGGGACTCTTCATGGCCCGCCAGAATCACAATCACCGAGACCGGTATTACCAGGCCGGTCACCAGCAGATCCGCTAGTGCCACGTTCACGAGAAATGCGTTTCCTGGAAAAAGAAGCCGCGTGAAATTAATTAAAGTAATTAGCTTTTAACAGTTCTTGCGATCTAGATCTAGTTCTCACGCTCGAGAAAAGAAGAACCACAATGCACATTCTTTTGTGCATATATACGTACGTACATACATATATTAAACTGGTACTCTAAGATCCCATTTCAGCATACAAATCGAATATCTATCTATACTCAAAAAAGTAAGTGCTCTTTTGTTGCTGATCTGTTTGTCTTTGCCGCAGATTTGGTTGTTTCAGACGTTTCGGAAAAACGATGATCGTGGCTCAGATATAATAAAATTATCACAGCCGCTCGAGAACAAAAAATGAACTAAATATAAAATTAGAAATAATTGTTATAGTAATAGCGTATTGTTAAATAATTGTTCCAGCTTACTATACGGTGCATGTACATTGAGAATTTTATTACAAGAATACATTTTATTACAGAAAATTCCATATAAAAAATATCAGCTTTAATTCTAATGTTATAAATATCGTTTCTAATGCTAAAAGTATCGTCAAACGAAAAAGAGAGAGAGAGAAAGCGAGCCGAATAGCAGGTTGCGGTAATACGTGTAAATTAAAGGTTTCCTTTGCCTTTTGAGGCTTCCACGATGCATTTACGTTCGTTTTGTTGCAACTTCGTCGCAACAACTTTAATATATCTATCTGAAATGTAATTCACTGGGCTAGAGACTTTCGTCGTTTCCTGCGCGCAATTGCTCGCTCGCATATCCCTCTCTTCCAAAGTGTATTCCGCACAATAATATAAATTCACAGTATAACCACAGCAGACATGTATCGATCTACGTGGATTTTACTTATACAGCCAAGAGTGTTCAAGATGCCTGCACTTTTCTGCATCATTCCTTTTTATTGGCAATAGTGCCTGCTTTTTGGTAACCTAACCTAACCTAATCTAATCTAATCTAATCTAACCTAACCCTAACCCTAACCCTAACCTCATGCCAAGCTCATATATTACTATTGCGTGCGTTGCTGGTTTTTTTGTATCGCGAGTTGAAGTGCTATTACTTTAATTTTTGTTATCGTAAAACAACGCAGACAGTTCTAAATATCTTATCAAGATTCGTTCAAAATAATAAAGTTATTAAATTTAAATTTATATTAAATTATAAAACATCTTTATAAAAAATTTGTATAAAAATATAAATATGTGTAATTAAATAAAAATATATTAAATAAATATAAAGTAGGTGTACGTATATAAGACGCAGTAAACTATAAAACGATTTTTAGAAGTATAAACGGTCATGCCGATTATGAAACTTCATTCTAATAGTGACACCGAAACGATACCGATAAGAACGACGAGCAGACAATGGCGACAACAATGATCAGTAAAGCGGGAATGAAATTACGATGCAATCACAGCTTTTATTGCGAGTCAACGATTATGGCGCATTTTATATGTTATTTTTAAGGTAAAACTTGAAGCTAAGCAAAAATATTAAGCTGTAAGATAAAGAAAAAAAGAAGTATAATATATTTTATATTGTCTCATGCGTCGTACTCTACTCATCGATATATTCTCTTTCGATATTTCTCGAACATTTCTCCGAGATGAATACTCTACGAAGAGAGACGCAAAGAAGAGAAGAAGATAATATCTATACATCTCATTATGTATTTTAAAGAAGTGAGTAACGCTATAACAAGGTGCGCGTAATTCAGTGCGAGAGTGTAATATCTATGTTCTATTTATGAATAATGTTAATGCGTGGAATTTTTATTGTTTCGTCAAATACGTGTTGAAACGTTTTGCCTTTAATTTAACGACTTTTCCGTGCGTAGAGATGATGAGCACATTCCGCTGTTAACCTCACGACGATAAACAAAGCTTTATAAAACAATCGCTGTGCGTAGCACGTATAAGTTGACGGTTAAACGTGCGCAAAAATAAAAATTAATCTCGTATATATTTACATTTTTTCTCTTTGCAGCCGTATTACTTTACACGCGTCCATATCGTCGTAGTTATCCGGCTTCGCGACCGTTATTATTAGACAAATTTTCATTTACTACGGTTTCCTTTTGTAAATAGATACTATGTGGAAAATAATTCCTCGCATTTCGAGATATGTAAGTCATGTGTCTGTGTGTTTCATGTGTTTGCGTATACGTGCGTTAAATATATACACGTATAGCCGAAGAGTTAATAATTTTATAGCATGTATGCGACATTAAAAATACCTAGAAACGTTCTCCGGCAGATAAAGTAAATTACATTTACGACGCTATTGCACCAGGCGTGGCGACTATCCTCGTTGCTAAGAGAGATGACATTTTCACCGAGGGCATTTCAACCTCGGACTTGTCGCTTTTCGAGAAAGTGCAAAATGTAGTGGCTCGCACCAACACGCCGACAGTCGACAGGGCCGCAAACGTGTTCGCGCCTTTAGGAAGGATATTACACCGCGATAAAAATGATTACGCGACAAATTGCACCGTCCGCGTTTCGGTAGTAGAGGAAAAGCGCGCCGCCTCTCTTTCCCCGGGCCCCGGTTAATAGGATGAAATATCGCGGCCTCTCCGGTAGATAGGTAGACGAAAACCCAAGGGAAAAGAGCTGCAGAGAACTCAGAAGCACAGAGGATCAGAGTGAGGGATCGCTCTCTCTTCAAGTATCGGCGAATTAAGCTCTGCACATTCGTCGCATTCGCACTGCCCGCATTCGCCGATTGCATTTTCCGGAGGTACGTTTCGGCGTGAAGAGATCCGATCGATTCAGCGGTTGATGCGTGGAATAAATTATCCCGCATCAGCGCTCGTGGCGTCACTTCGAAATTGATTCTCTCTATCCTCTCTTCTCTACATCTCTATCTCTCATCCGGGTCCTCTGTCTAGCCGCAATGCTGCAGCATCGTCATGGGAACGTATCCCCGTACTGCCTTCTCCCCTTCCCTCCTCCGTGGTATTCTTCTGCGTACCGAATGAATCCAGGCTGATCAGAATTTGTTTTAATCGATTTACCGAGTCAGCCCATCGCTCTCTCTCTCTCTCCCTCTCTCTCTCTCTCTCTCTCTCTCTCTCTCTCTCTCTNTTTACCGAGTCAGCCCATCGCTCTCTCTCTCTCTCCCTCTCTCTCTCTCTCTCTCTCTCTCTCTCTCTCTCTCTTTCTCTCTTGCTCCTTTCCCTCTCTCTTTCGTTCTCTCCTCACCGAACCTCGTTTCAGGAGCGCCGAACCGAACTATTCGCCAACCGCACCGCGGAGTACCCGAAGTATTCGCATTATCGGCGGGGATTCACCGCGTTCGACCGCCGTCGCCGCTGCCTCCGTGATCGGGGTTTCCAAGGGGAGGCACTGCTCTAGACGAGACGAGATGAGACAAGAGGGCAAGTATAGAAGAGGGAAGGAGGTGAGATATATAGGACGGCGCTCTCTCGTTGTGGCATTAGATACGGGGCGAGCAGGAGTTATACGGCAACCGAGCCCGTTCGTGCGGCTACGCGCCGCGAAATTGACTCGCTCATCCGTGTACACCCTTATAGCGACCACCACGGCTGCGCAATCCATTACAGCGCCATCGGGTTACCGAGCATCGCGCGGACTTTGCGCACTATGGTGTGCGGTGCAGCTTTTTGTTTCTGTCAAGTTCTCACCGCGTGCCGGCTGAGTTCACGCAAACGAAGCCAAAGTCCGTCCGACACTTCACGTCCGCAGTAGAAATAGGGTTCGCGTCAGGCACGAACGAACATCCACGTACATTTTCCGCGTCACTCTTGCCCACGCACACGCTACGAAGACGGTTCTCTCTGCTGCAGGGAATGAGAAATCGCGTGCTAGAGCCGGATTTCCGGTTACAGACAGGTCAGTTACTGTCGCGTCACGTTTAGACGTATTTATTGGGAAAGGGACGATCCCGAAGTTTGAAATTGACCGCGCGCGCGCGATGAAGCACGTTAAAACTTTGAGTTTTGTTACAAGCTTTATTCAATATAGTAAAGTATTTCTTTTCTCGTGCGTACCATTTGTAACGAGTTTGTCTATTATTAACTATCCGCAAGATCCAATGACACGAGCGAAAAATGACATTAAAATGACGATAATCATTTTTAAGCAGTTTAATTCGCGGTTTTCAAAACAAAACAAATTAATTTTGCAAAGTTAACTTATACAAAGATAAAAAGAGAAAAAGAAGAAAGAGGAAAAGAGAGAAAAACGATATACTTAACTGAGTATAATTACATCCGCAATGTCATTGTTATTATTCCCTTTGCCGGAATATACTCTGCGTGCAAATAATAATTATCTTGAGTCGTGGTCTCTCTCAAGTAACGAGAATTGTACAAACAACGCGTGATAACATCGATAAGAAATTATTTATTATCTCATCGCAATGATATCCGCAAGAATGGGAAGAGAAAAAAAATGAGAGAGAGGTTTGCAAATAATACAAGAAATCGATTTCGTCATTGCCGCAGGTATAATAATGACACGATAAAGATCCTATCTTTTCTGAAAAGATTGTATCAGCGACGTTCGTTCTTTACCGTTATATCTCCTACCGATCTGATACAGACGGAGTATACTCTTGTCTATAAAAACATAAAAAAAGGTAAAAAAAATATATATATATATATATATATATCTTTGCGGATAGATTTCTCTTACTTTTTTTTATATACTCTTTTATACACATATATATAGGATATATATATGTATATATACCAAAAGAACGTTGTCGCGAGGCACGTCGGATATGTACGACCTTCTGGATGGCTTTTAGAGTCGGATGTACTTCTATAAAGTAAAAACTTTTGTCGTTGCATTTGTCGATGAAAGTATCTCTTTCAGGTACCACTGACTTCTTTTCTTTGTCATTTTTCCCTCTCATCCCCCACAATTTTTTCTTCTCTCCCCGCATCACTATTTTAATTTTTCACTTGAAATTCCTATAGCGAGAATCCGACGCACACGCGAGAAACGATTCTCTTTCTCTCCGCGCGCTTATATTTTATGTTTTTATTTACTTAAATAACTAAATTACATAAGATGTACCTCGCTTGTTGAGTTGATCCTCCACTACCACGGCGGATATCATGAAGACGTTGCCTACGCTCCCGCCGACCGCGAGAGAAGCCAGCAGCAGAAGTCGCGCTACTCTAGACCACGCCGATGACAAAGTTACCGGCGAAACGTCGAGATCGTCCATGATGCTGCTTATAGTGGTGCTTAGTCTTACCTCAGGCTTAACGATATCGGTCATGGTAGTGATTACGCCGTGGTAGTTCGTCGTATTCATTCTGAAACTGAGAAAGATAAATTGTCGATTAAAACAAACACGCGACTTTACATTCAAACAAAATATTGAGAACAGCTATATCTGTGTTCTACTAATATGTTATCGATATTTTGTTTAATTATATATATATATATTGTTTAACTTATTGTCAGTTTAAACTTCGATGAAGACAGCACGCGTAATCTTCCTGTCTTTCATCAATTTAAACGATGGTTTATGATGGTCTTCAAGTTTGGAACATGGAGGAAACGAGGCTGAAGCTATTCGATATCACGCTATTACACGGAGAGAGGGCCCTTTGAAGATTAGGGCTGACAAGACCATACCGACCACCCTAATTGTGAATTATCGATCGCGAACTACGGTGTTGGAGATAGTCACCTGTTTCAACCGTGGCCCATGTTAGGTTTCCACAATGTCCTCGTTGTCGCTAACAACATCTGCGCACTATCATGGTAATTAGCAAATATAAATGTCGCGCAGCTACCTAACGCTATATAAATGCGTTGATAAAACAAGTTCGACAAAATTTAAAGATGCATAATAAGTGCTACAAAAACTATTTTGCTACCGACAATATATTTCTGTTTCTTTTTGCTCAAAATCATCTCAACGTTTCAAATTATATTGCCGGCGACAAAGTTCACTATCTATTTCTATACCAAAATTAAAACGTTTCCGACGGAATATTCATCTCGGGTTTCCTAAAGTGAATTTTATTTATTACTTATATTATTAGCAAACAAAGCTTCGACCGAATTGTTCAACATGATTGTATTTTGCTTAGACGCGAAAAAATTGATTTGCGAAAATTGCAATTATTTAATAAAAAAAACTGCGTTATATCGTTTGTTCTGCTATCATTCTTTATTTTCTCAGAAATATTTTCAAATATTTTTTGTTGCATTACAGCTTGAAATGGCAAACCTCTTGAGCCAATAATCTTGTCAATCCCGTGCGCGTTACGTGATCTTTCACGCACATCACGACGTCGAATCAATTTTCCCGTGGACGTCACCGATATCTTTTCTTAATTGAAAAACGACTTCTGCAGCAATGAACAAAACACCGTTTGCGTCGTAAAAGAAGCAGAAAACAGTGCAAATTCTTGTTTTTGTCTTACCAAAAGCCAGATCAAACGAAAAATACTCGTTATCAATTTATAAAATTATTTTACAATTGCCTTGTTTGTTAGTTACAAAGTTTTTAATTTTCAATCAAGTTTTACGCACAATATACTACTAAATCAATCAATAATCTATCATTTCGTTAATTTTTGATATTATAGACGTTTCTCGATAATGCAGAATCTGTGCATTTTAACTCGAAAGAAGAAGATTCTTATATGTCCACTTTAAACAGCTTTTAAATTGCAGATCTATTTCGAGAACTAGTGTCTCCGAGAACGTCTGATTCTACTTAACAAGACGTATGGATTACAATTTCATTGCGACACCTTGCAAAAGTGGATCTCATTCGCGATGCAAAAAGATGCAAACGGTCCATCAACAGGAGGAAGCATCTCATTTCACGAGTCTTCTTCAATCCAGCGAATGAATGTGTGAAATCCTATGTTACTACAAAGAAAAGCGTAACGACGAATGCGCCCGCGACAAGATTACTTAGAATGAGACTACATTACAAAAAGATATAATTACGTCATTGCGGATTATACTAAAAAATGAAGGATCAGAACGGAGTCTCGGAAATCTGGGACGTGTTAACGGGAATTCGAACGTAACCTTTTAAATTATTCCGATTGGGACGACGAGAATCTCCGTTCTCTTCCTGGTTTACAATTGAAATCTCGACACACGAATCTCACCGCGGCCACAAAATTCAGCTATTGCCACCACGTTTGTCACGGAGAGAAAAGTTATGTCTACTCTAGAGAGTAGCGTACCACGAGCGCCGTGTGACATTGTTCTCTCCTCGTTCTCGCACTTAGAAATTTCATATTTCTTTTCGCGTGCACACACACCCGCAGTCGGTCTTACACCGAGGAAGCGGCGAGAATCTCGCCTTACATGACTTTCGCCGTGTTTCGGTGAACACAGAAAGCAGGAAACCTACAGTCGTCTACTGTAACACAAGCGATCTTGTATAGCCGCTATATCGGGTTTCGTGGAATCGATGATGGTAGGAGTTAAACCTGCGCCGAATCCGGTCTAACGTTCGTTTGTTTGTTTGTTTGTTTTTTTTTGTCATTTTCCGTGTACACAGGCGGAAATAAAACGTCATTAAGCAATAGCGTCTTCAGGTAATTGCCGACTCGACATTGGGTCCACGTCTCGACTATGGGGATTTTATATGGTCTTGGCGACTATTTTTACAATATGTCTGAAGAATTTGATCCTCGCGCAACGAAGAAACGTACAAATAACTTTCCCCCCTGAGAAATCGTTCAGCATAGTGATCACACACACGGACCTTATACAGCGCAATACGTTTCTTTTACAACTCATTAAAACGACCCGAAAATCGAAATTACAGCCGCTGCGCAATATATAGCTCACATTTTATTGATAATAAAAACCGGCAAAGAGTAATTAGGTTTGTATCAAGTTTGCAAACTGCTTCATTTTAAGACTTTTGGAACTTTGTGTTCAAACGCGTTCGCGCGAACGCGCCATCGATGCTCGGAGAAGCGCAGCGCCGTTAATTTGCATGGAAGTAATCCGCAAATGAATATTCACTCGGCATGTCATTAAGACCATGAAAAGGGACCGACCAAAGTTAAAAGTTAATGTTCACGCGTCCGTAACGATCAAAACATGTTCATTGAGCATTTATATATGTAAACCGCCGAAACTCACGGAACACAATCAACATAAGCGCGTTCGTGCCAATTTCAACAAGCGGTAACAACGACGACGCTGTCAAAGCTATCGCGAGAAGTTACCGAGAAAATTAATCTGAATAAACTATCGTCGATGCGACGCAAATAGATGCCAAAATCTACTTACTGACACTTACCATCATCAATATTAAACGATCTGTGTAATTACGCGCCATTATCTTTCTTCTTTCGTCTTATCCGCTTATCTCATGTACAATATCCCAGGTATGTATGAGATATATCGGATATGTAACGCCATATAAAACTGATCCAATAGGAGACGTAGAATAGATCGTTGTGAGCCATCGTGCTCTGATCGGTCGCGTATAAACCGTCGATGGACGATTACGGAGCGGAAAATAAAATTCTTCGGGAAATATACGTGCTGGTGCGATAAAGGCGGCAACAAATTTCGCGGATGGCAGAGTTACGCGATTACGTGACGCGTCGGCTCAGGAAGGTTACGAGAAAGTTTCTCGAGTGTAAAGTGGGCTTAAGGCAAACGTATGATAAGAAGACACCGAGGCCGAGACTTTACGAAGAAGAAACAGAGAGACGCGCGCAGAAGAGAACAAAGATGGTAAAACACGAAAAAAAATGAGGAACAATTACGCGAATGTACATAACTGAGCAAAAACTTTTCTTTTCGGACAGCACTCAGTTGCGCGCTCCAAATGCTACGAAAGTTTTTGTGGATGGTGCTGTTATCTTCTTAACACCCGAGTCACGCGTATGCCGCGTTCTCTTTTAATAAATAATGCATCGTTGCTATTAGACGCGAGATGCTGTAATTTTCCTCGACTTTATTTTCGTCGCGCTTTTACGAGAATAAACGGAACTAATATAAGCACAAAAGCGACAGGTGATACTTGTTATATCTATAAGTTTTCTTTGTTGTATCTTTTGTTTCTTCTAAATATAAATACATTTAAATAGAACAAACTATTGCAGATATAAAATTTGCACTTAACATATCCATGAAGTTTTAAGCGTCTATAACATATTTCCTTAAACATTTTAATTTAGACTCTACTACGCTTTTTATTTCATAAATATATGTGAGTACATTCTTGCTCTTATATTTTTAATAATAACCTGCGCTCTCGAAAGCACACACTTATTATGCAAGATAGATCATTATAATCCCTTCTTTACTTCTTACGCGCTCTCTTTTCATATTGTCTTAGTGAATTTTTATCTCATGTGTTGTAAAACACAACACTGCACCAATTTCTTGTGCGCGTGTGTGTGTGTGTTTTGGTAGAAAAGAATATTTAACCCTCAACGGACGGACATGAGTCGTTTTCGTCTGGAGTAAAATTACTTTCTGAAGAAAGTAATTTTCTTGTTGTCATATTTGCTAAAAATTATGAATTAAAACTTTATTTTCGCTAAATTTAATGATGGTGTCTTAAAATAGACAGTTTAAAGAGTATATGCACATTGTTTCAGATTTTTTTAGAAATATTTAATATTTTTAAAAAGCCCAAGACGAAAACGACCCATGTCCGGCGAATTAAGGTGCCGAAAAACACGCCGTCCGTTGAGGGTTAATTCAACAGCTTTATAAATATATATGTATATTTGTGTCGCAAATTGCTTAGCAGATATAAATATTGGACAATAGAGTTGGACGAGTTGATATTTACACACACACACATATCTTTTTAATGCTTTATTTATCGCATAACTTTTTGGTAATGCTCCTAAATCAACTTAAGTGTTGCGTTTTTTAAGAGAATATTGAGGCGAATACCGACAAACTCGGTATTTAATATCTTCTCAGATTTTTATTTTTCATCTACTGTGAGAGAGACTCGACAATACATCACGCGCTTCAAAACGCGAGTAATTATGTATAGGAACCGACAGAAAAATAACTAACATAAAATAGGAAAAAAACATTAGTAATATTAACATACACATATGACACAGTGCCGTCCTTTTGTACTTGGTTCGTTTTGAATTGTACACAGATTGTTTATGAAAATAACTTCCGAGGCAAACACGTTTACACAATATTCGCAAATATATATATATAATCTGGGAGAGCAGCCTGTGTCATATACAATCCTACAAATCGAGATATACGATTTTCCATGTATAATCTATCAGAGGAGTGGCGAACTTTTCATTACTAGGTTTCATTACGTCTTCCCGGGATTTTTTTAATTAATACGAGCCCGAGACAGGAATGTGCGACTGAACGTGTGCGCCGTGCGCGATTTGTGCAGAGAATTCCACCCTTTAAAATCTGCATCGTTAATTTCCGTCAGAACATCTGACGCATACAAAAATGTGCCACGTGCATATGACAAGCGTCTACCTCGATCTTTTATCCGGAGCTAGGGACAACGGACGAAATAACGTGCAGAGTTGAACTTATCGGATTGTTAACGCGCGCGCACGCGAGAGAGAGAGAGAGAGAGAGAGAGAGAGAGAGAGAGAGAGAGGGGGAGAGAGAGAGAGAGAGGGAGAGAGAGAGAGAGAACGGCGTTAACAATCAGCGAAACGACAGTCTATTTGCTATTTGTGTGTGTGTGTGTGTTAACATCTTTTCGAGATTAAATTTTAATCTCACATCGAGGATTGGCTTAAGTAAAATCGCCTTAGTGTAGCGTCGCTACGGAACGGATTTAAATCGTTTCACGCTACGTTGCTAGATTAGGTTCTCTGCTCTCGGAAGCGCAGCTGGAATTGATATTTTCAGTGCCATCCACGTCGCCCATAGTAAATTATTTTAGGAAAAAAAGATGCACGCTCGTTTTCTTCAAGAGTTTGTATTTATATTTCTCATTGCTTTTATTGTTTAAAATAATAAACGCAAAACTTTTTAAGAAAGTATAAATAATAGTCTGTAAAATCATAACAAGTGGATTTATGAATACAAAAGAAAATAAAAAAAAAAGAGAAAAAAACAGAAATATGTTTGTCAAAAATCTCTATCACGCGATAAATATATCTACAAGATATTTACAACTTCTACAACAATCGATTCAGACAACTTCTTGTTTTCCGATTAGATTTTCTTCTGTCAACTTTTCGTTATAAGTAAAACGTTGAATTTAAATTATCAAATTATTTAAAAAATTATTATTTAAAAAATTGAGAAATTAGTTGTCCATTATAAAGTCAGTCGATTAAATCATTTTAATGCATAAAAATGCGGAAAGCAACAAATACGTCTTTATGTGGATTTAATATATTAAAACTTGTTTTTTTCTCACAAAATTATATAAATTCAATTAAATGACACGCATTATTCAAAATGGCGTCATTACATTATTTATTCACATAAAATACATTTGCGGTAGAAGCAATAACGAAACTCGTGGAAA